TTTGTGTTGGTTACCTTTTTTTCTGTTTTGGGGACAAAATATTTTTAATTTATTTATTTGTGTCGCGGGGGGGGGAGCAGCTCAGCCCACCAGGGGGCGGGGCAGGCTGGCATGTGGTGCTGGGGGATTGAACCGCAGTCCCTGTGCTTTGCTAAGCTTGTTCTAAGTAGGTGCTTTAGACCACTGAGCCATCTCACCAGCCTGAAAAAAATTATTGCTTAAAACAGACAATACTCCCATCAGTCAAAAATCTAATTCATCAGTTACATTTATGCATGTGATAAACATATGCCTAAGTTTTTTTCCTAGATATGTGACAGAAGGACATAAAAGTTATTAAAATGTTCTCTATAGATTCCTTTTCTTTTTTCGGCACTGGGGATTGAGTCCTGGGCTTCCTGCATCCTAAGCAATCACTATTTCCCTAGCTCATTTTGAGGCAAGGACTTGAGATCTTCCTGCCTAAGCCCCCTAAGTAACTGGGATTATAGGTGTGCACTACCACATCCAGCCCCTACAGCAGAAGTAAATGATGTACCACAGCAGGGCTTATCACTGAAAGTTCTGAAAGGTTCTATTTTCTTCTATAGGTTTGTAAGAGCTATAAATTTCAAACAATAATTCTAAATACTAGTCTCAACCTTAGAGATGGTATTATGTGTATAAAGTATAAAGTTTTAAAACTTAATAGCAAATTAATCTTCCTCAAAATACTCTCCCTCGGGCCAGCCAGATAGCTCAGCAGATTAAAACGCCTGCTTAGGCAGATGCAGGGGTCGAAGGTTCGATGTCAGGCCTGCATGCCAGTCCTGTCCCCGGGGTGCACTAAGGGCGACTGAGACTGGGTGTGGTGGTACGCGCCTGTAATCCCAGCATTTGGGAAGCTGAAAACAGTAGAACCATTACAAGTCCAATCTGTGTAGTGAGACCCTGTAGTCCCTGTAGACCATGCACTAAATATACCAAAAACAAACAAACAAACAAACAAACAAAAAAACCCAAAAAACAAAACTCTCCCTCATTTCGAGCACACTCCATTCTTCTTGCCACTTTCTGAAGTAGTTGTAGAAGTGTATCTCTTCCTCTCCTGACCCTTTTAATTTTTTGGCTTTTTTTTTTTGAGACAGGGACTCGCTATGTAGTCCAAGCTGGCCTTAAAGTCATTGTGTAGTCCAGGCTTGCCTCAAACTGCTACAGTCTTGCCTCAGCTTCCTGAGTGCTGGGATTACAGGTGTGTATCACAAGATTTTTTAGTTGCCTTGATGTCCAGAATCCTCTCAAAACATTTCACTTTCATGGTCATTTTGACTTTGAGGAAAAGCCAGAAATTGCATGCCAGATCTGGTGAATAAAGTAGATGAAGACACACTATTTTTGAGCCTACCTTTCCACTGGATGGCACTGAAGAGTGACATATGGACACTCATAACGGAGGATTTCCAGAACTGCTTCAAAGATGAGAAAAACTATAATCCCTGTGTTTGGGAGACTAAGGCAGAAGGAGGACCACCATGAATTCCAGGCCAACCTGGGCTACCCAGTGAGCTCAAGGTCAGCCTGGACTACATAGCAAAACTCTGTCTATGGAGGGAAAGGAGGAGGGAGGGCCTGGGAGGAGGCAACCAAGCAGGCAGGTAAGCAGGCAAGAAGAATGGGGTAAATGTGTTTCAAGCATGGAGGAGTAATCTGAGGAAGGTTCATGGCAATGTGTCTTTTAATATAATACATTTAAAAATTTTAAACATTTGGCATATATTTTGATCATACTTCATGTATGTACACACATAAATAAAACATTTTGTACAAACCACTACTCAAAAACATTAACATTTTATTCTTAGAAAATGCAGTACCATGGTAAAGACAGAAAATACTAACAAGTTCATTTTAACTCATCTGGCTTAAAAGAAAAATCTCTGTAAGCAGTGCAATACTGACCTAGTGACGTAATTTCCATAATTAACTCACCACATGAACCAAGGACTACTACCGAATAGATGTCAGTAAAATAAATTAAAGAGTCTATTTCTCAAAATCATTCACTGGAAATAGTCACCTTTCAAAGAGATTACTTATTGGGTAAGTGAGCAAGAACCAGAACCCAATCTGAATCTGAGGTACACCATCTGCTTAGACATTGCTAAGATGTTCCTGATTCCGGCAAACAGATTATGCCAGGGCCAGCTATCAATACTACTCAAACAAAATGCTTTAAGTCTTCAGAAAAAAGCAAAGCTACTATAAATGCTGCAAATGGATAAAGTTTTGTAGAAGAGGTCCAATTTAAGCAGGTCTTAAAAAGATTAACAGGGGCCGGGGAGATAGCTCAGTGGAATAAGTGCTTGTCTGGCAAGTACAAGGTCCTGAGTTTGATCCCTGGTACCACCAAAAACAAAACAAAACAAAACAAAGAAGATTTACATATTAAAAGGAAGGAAAGGAAAGGGACAGCAGTAGAGTTACCAACAGCACAAGTGTCCAAAAAAGGTGTAGGCTTAGTGATCCACCAATTTGATCAACTTAGCCAATGAACAGATGGTTTGAGTAACAACAGGAAGTAAGGAGAGAAAGGTTGAGGCCAGGCTCCAAAGCCAATGGATATATCTAAACACAGCAGTATTTCAGAAAGATTAATTTGGTGGTGGCAGGAACAGTGGGACATAATTAGAGATAATGTGAGATAAACTTGCACTATTCTTATAAGAATAATGGCTTCAAGTTGAGAGGAAGAGGTATTAATAGAAACGTTTAAAAAAAAGTATTATTACAAATGAACAATTTCAGTGTTTGGATTTTGGCTCATCTTTCCAGCCACCACCATTAAAGAACACTAAATAACAATTTTTAATGTGAGGTCAGTCTTGCTGATGTCCAGAGCACCACAAGAAATAAGACTGCATAAAGAACAAGTCTTAAGAATGTTTCTAGATGGTAGCTAATTAGAGTAATTTGTATCATCGTGTCCGGACCTCAACTGCATTTTTATAAGCACTGATTTAGAATACCTCAAGCTCTACCTGGGAAAGCTTTATCAAACCTGTTTAAAAATTTCTAGTTCAGTGTCATCAATTCAAAAGTAGCTGCAAAATGATTATGGGAATATGGCAACATCCTAGTAAGCTTCTACTCAATTCTAACACAGCATTCTCGATTTATTTAATAACACATTCAAGAAATAAGTTAAAATGTCTAAAGATATGACTAGAAGTCACCTTCTTTTCTGTATAGACTATAACAAGTCAGTGATAATTAAACCAGATGTAAGTACAACTATCAATGGAAAATAACTATCAAAAGAAAACAAAGATGTATGCATAGCCCCATAGAAAGGAAGTATATTTACAAATTCCCATAAATATAAATTAGATTTGCAATGGCTACACAAAAAAAGGGGCATCTCAGGGCAACTGCTAAGAGGTCAGAGTTTTCATGACTGCTGGCATCAGATGTACAAATTTCTCACCAAACTGTACCTGTTGGTTTTTTTTTAAATAATTTTATTGAGATGTACCTGGTTGAGCTAACAAATATGCCTACTTATGAAGACAGAAACCTAGTCTATGGACTGCTCTCTAGTCGTGACCTACCTGCAGGTCCCACGGACACCAGATATAAGAAGTTTGGCTGTACTAAGATAAATTACATAGGCTTTTAAAATTTAAAAACAGGCATACAAAAACCCTACAGGCTTTCTGAAGACTTTCTCTGCCACACTAAAAAACTTTCACTGTGAAGCTAAAGTTCGTTATTTATTTCACTTTAACTGGGAAACAGGGCTGGTAAGATAGCTCAGTGGACTAAAGTGCCTGCTTACGCAAGCTTAGGCAGGTATAGAGACCATGGCTCAATTCCTGGCACTACATGCTGCACCAGGCCCACCACCTGGGTGGGCTGAGATGGCCAGAGTCTGGGCATAGTGACGCATGGCTGTAATTCCAGAGCCGGGGAGGATGAAAGCAGGAGGATCACTATAAGTCCGAGCTGTGTAGTGAGACCTTGCCACAACCAAATACATTAAAAATTATTTTAATTTAAATAAATAGGTAAGTGGGAAACATTTTTGTTTATCATCTGAACAGAACACACAAAGGAATGGGGCAAAGTTACCTAGTGAGGGCAAAGGCTGGAAAGCTGTGCGAAAAGCAAAGGATCCAATTTGTTTTGTCAAGAATAAAAGTACAGGGAAGCAGATAATGTAAACTGCACTAAACCAAAGAATGAGAGGGACAGCATCAGAGCTGACAACAACTTCTGAAAAGGATGAGTTGGAAGACTCTCCTAAAGGTCACTCAAGTACTGATAGCTGTGCTAGCCAAGAAAAAGAGCAACAAGACAATCAAGGCCATGGAGACCACATGCTGATTAAGAAGCTCTGAACTCAAGTGGAACTAAGAGACACCAACTGGAACTTAGATCTTATAACAGTGAGTATTTCAAGAGGAAAATGAGTATGAAAGTAAATCTCTGCAGATAAAAGTTCATGAACATTTTTCATACACTGTCTCACTGATTTTTAAGTGTTAGTCCTAAGTAGTTTCTGAAGCCTTGAAGCCTATGGTAAAATTACAGACTTCTTAGGAGTAGAACATTTTACAGGACATCAGTCTATGAGGTATTCTCTGCACAGGCAGGAGACCAAGGGATGGAGAGAGAGAGAGACAGAGAGTGAGCAAACATTTACAAAATAGAAATATAGGGGTCGGGGAGATGGCTCAGTGGAATAAGTGCTTCCCTGACAAGCGCAAGGGCCTGAGTTCAATCCCTGGTTCAGCGAAGAAAAAAAAAAAGCTAGGCAAAGTGGTACAATCCTGCAATCCCGGCACTCGGAAGGCCAAAGCCAGATAATTGCCAGAGTTCAAAGTCAGCTCGGGCTACACAGCAAATTTTTGTCTCAAAAACAAAAACAAAACAAAATAAGTCACAAAAACCTATCTCTTATGTAAGACCACAGAAAGAACAAAAACAGTTTCCTGTTCATTACTAACTTGGCAATCTCTCTGTAAGAAACCTTACCTAAAAATCCACCTCCTGCTACCTGCTTATAATAAAGACAAAGTTGATAAAATAGTAGGCAATATATTAATACCTGATTACAAATTACGTAAAAGCTGAATATTTGTTACAAATGTAAAGCAACTCCAATATTTACTTCCAATCCAAAGGGGAAAAGCTCAAAAAATTAGAAATATGAAGGTATTTTAATATTGTAATTTAAAAATTATCTTAGGTCATCAAAATCACATCTGAGTACTCAAAACATCAGAGCTATCGACATCAAAGAAAAGAGGAAGGCAAAATGCCTGCTAGTGCTCCTAGTCTAACACTGCTCTTTAATTTTTAGCATGAGGATTCTCAAACACAAACAGTGGTAGAAGACCTAAAAAAAATAGAAAAAAAGATTTTAAAGATGTCCCCTGACAGGTACAAACATTTAGATATGCCATACCAGTAGTTGGGATGACTCTGTATTATAGAATATAAATTCTTCCAAAACTGACTTATAAATTTAATCCATTTTGGGGGCCGGGAAGATGATTCAGTTGAACAAGTACTTGCCTGGCAATCGCAAGGGCCTGAGTACAGTTCGGCCAAAAAAAAATAAATAAATAAATAAATTTAATCCACTTTGAAACACAGATAACTGACCAACTCTTTGGGAAAAATTAGATCTCTATAATTTACAAAGAACATAAACATACAAAATATGGAACACTTAGGAATTTATAATGTATAAAAAGTTTGTTCCATTAGTCAGACATATGTTAAAATGAGATGCTGGCTTTTGTTTATCAACACTCAGAGGAAAAAATTTAGGAAACAGGTACTCTCAAACACTTAAACTAAGAAGTTCTATTTTTAGGAACAATCAATGCTAACACATTTACATGAAGACATTCAGCACAGTATTATAAATAATACCAATAAAATAAATGAAAATAATAGGAATGCAAAAGACTGGCTTAATAGAGTTGAAATATTTTCAGTGAAAATTACTGGGTACTAAGATCACATAAAACATTTATTTTCATCTGTATGCTTTCATATTTTTTTCACACTTTCATCAACACAGATATATTTTTATATTAAAAAAACAATGAATGTTATCCCAAAGAAATATCTAAACTTTAAGTTCTACTCTGCAAACTCTAGGGGCTATAACCCAGAATATGACTTCTAACTACGCTGATGACATTTTTAATGAGAATGATGATGAATCTTGGGGTCAGGGATACAGCTCAGCAACACTGCCTGCCTAGCAAGTGCAAGATCCTGAGTTCAATTCCTGGGACCCAAAAACATCCCCAAAAAACAAAAATGTTGAATGTATATGACGTAAATATTTCAACAGCCTCATTCTTTTTTTTTTAAATTTTATTTATTTATATATTTATTTGATACAGGGTTTCACTACACAGTTGAGACTTGTAATGATCCTGTTTTCAGCCTCACCAACGCTGAGATTACAGGTGTGTGCCACCACGCCCAGCTTCAGTGGCCAGCACCTTGGCAAGGCACGCAATACCAGAGATCAAACTGAGGTCCTTGTGCTTGCCTGGGAGGTACTTAGACCACCAAGTTATCTTTCTAGCCCCCAACAGCCTCATTTTTATATCAAGTACTATAGAAGTAGCAACCAATAAGATAAGTAATTGCATTTGGTTCATTGTGAACATATATGGTTAGAGAAGTGCAGGTACAAATGGTCACAGGAAAAGGTCAAAATTTATTACCGAGAAAGATTTCTGTTGGCTTTAGCCTTTAATACTAACCCTGATATACACAAATGTCACAGAGTTTATAGTAATTTTACGTTTGGGGGCCTATTCATGCATTTATGAGGTGTGATCAAAATACACAATGAATGTTTATATTAATTAATGTAGTAAGACATACTGATACTAACCCTCTCAAACTACTCCCTCTCATACCACATTTTTTATCTCATGGTCTAGGTCACTTTTGAAGCATTTCTGGAAGTCCACTTTTGTGAATGTACCTGTAAGATGTGATCAAACATCAAGCGAAATGTGCCACCTAATGGAAAGGCAGGCTCATAAAAATACTAAAGTGTGTCCTCATCCACTTACTCATGGGATCTGGTACCATGTAACTGCGCTGATCTCTGAAGTCAAAACAACCAGATAAATATTTAGAGTCCATTCAGGAGACTTAGGTTGCTGCGCCAGCATATCTAAAGACACTCATGAAAGAGGATTTCTAGAACTGCTTCAGAAAGTGGTAAGACAATGGCCAAGTGCATTTGAAGTGAGGGGGAAAATCTTGAGGGGAGTTGATGTGTTTTCTACTGTAATACATTTTAAAAATTTAAACATTCACCATCTTTTTTAATCAGTTCATGTATTTATATAAGTATTTAAATTTAAATAGATTTTAACATTTAAACAACATTCACCATCAAAAGGAGTAAAACAAAGACTTGAAAAATTTAAACCCAAGAATATAGCACTGAAGAAACTGACTCTGACAATAACCTATGCAATTATTATTGGCTCTGGGTGAAAAATGGCTTTTATAATACTTTACTACTAAATAAGACACTGATATAACATTTAACACAGAGGCACTAAAATATCACTTAAATTTAACTTCAGATTAAAAGAGAAGAACAAAGATCTTAACATATTAAGCTTAAGGAACATTCAGGAGAGAGCAAACTTCTAAAACTTTGATTTTCTCACAGGTATCCATGTACAGTACAAACCTAGATGTGAAAATCATCCTAATGGAGTAACAGTACTGAAGACCTCAAATCTGTTTACACACTGACACAGTACCATCAACCCAAAACCATGCTAGGGCAGAGGTCAGGAGAAAACTTGTCTCACAAAACTAGTGTGACTGAGATACTCTTCATTCACAGGATATAAAATTTTCGTTATCTTTGGGACTAAATATCTTGAATAACCATGACATGGGTGTTCCTTCATTTTATCAGGGAGACCTCCTCCATTAGGTGACAAGAACCTTTTTCTACTCAACACCCCTTAACCCCCTTTTTAACAAGGGGGATATTCCCTGGGCTCAGGGTGGTCTGCAAACCATTGCAAAGGTGAAGGCATGAAGAGGCTTGCCAAAAATATAAACCACAGAGCAGTAAACAGCAGACATTCAAACCCAGAAACTGTGAGCCTATGCTCCCTGATAGCCAAACAATTGTGCAAAAGTGACAGCCTTGTCAAGCAGGGTTTTAAGTTGTTTTTTTAAAAAAAGGCATAATGAAAAGACTGATGGGGGGGGGGTAAAAATGTCTGACTATAATAGCATCAGTACTTACGTATCATACCTCTGCAATGGTGTCACTTTATTCTTATTCTTATCAACTGAACCCGTAGACAGCTGAAGAAAATTGGGATTTAATTTATACAATTCCTGAAGTAGCTTCTGTTCATATTCTTGATGTTTACCCGCCTAAAGAAAGGAGAAATTAAAACCGCAGTAGGATTCACAAAATGGCTCGTATAAAATAATGCATTATCTTCTGAATTATTAAGGGTATCCTAAATAAAACATACAAAATTTTCACATGGAGTCAGAAAAAACTACAAGGATGAAAGTTACAAAACTTCTAGACCACCAAAGGCATTTCATTAACTTCTATTATACAGAAAAACATAATGAGAGGATAATTTCACTACTTCAGAAACTAAATATCCATCTTTCGCAAGATTTTCACACAAATCATCTAACAGATAACTATTGAGTTTCTGGAAATCACTTAAAATTTATCAACTGACCCTGTTTTATTTGGAAATTAACAATTTATATTCTTCATTATCTTGGCACTAAATAAAAATTATACAAATTTCATTTTTACTTTTTCCTTTATTTCACCAAGGATAACATAAAAAATTAATGTATTTTAAACTCTGGACCAAGGGTCAACAGTTTATAGCCACATACTTTGTTTTTGTAAATAAAATGTTACTAAGACATAATTATGCTCATTCATTTACACATTGTCTAGGGTTCCTTTCTTGCTACAAAAGGCAGAATGGAGTATTATAAAAGAGACAACAGAATAGTTGTGACAGGGACTACATACCTACAAATTCTAAGGTATTTGCTACATAGAAGTGGCCCTTTGCAGAAAGATTTGCTGACTCTATTCTGTAAGTTATGGGAAAATGCTATATTTACCACATATGGGCAGTTGCCTATCTGAAAGCAGTATTGCAAGTATTGTGGGAAAATCAGGCAAAAACTGCTGTTAGAAGCGAATTAGATATAAGAATCAATATTCGAGCTGGCCAGATAGCTTAGCAGACTAAAGTACCTGCTTAGGCAGAGCACAGCAGCCGGGGTTCGATCCCCAGTGGGCCAGGGTCTGATCTACATAGTGAGACCCTGTACACCCTATAGACCCTGTCCTAAATTTATTTTAAAAAACAAAAACCAAAAATCAATGATCATAAAATTAGTTTGACTAATCTTTTGCTGTGTGGATGTACATAATGACTGGAAGGTCATTTGGATCTTTATCATTTTAAAATTCTATAAAACTTATGGTAAAACCAACATGGAGATCAAAACAGAAGCAAAATAACAAAAGTCACAGGCATTCTCATTTAACTGAGCACAACTGTGGACCATGCACTGTACAACACATCATCCCTACTCTGAGAAGCCACTTGCTCATTTCAACAGGATCTCTAAATACACCTAAAATTGGAGCTAGGAAAAACTTAAACATATAGACAGACATACAAGACACACACACACACACACACACACACACACACACACACACACGATAGATAATTGCACTACTAATTTCTATAAGTTCATTGAAAGGAACAGATAGGGCTTATATTGTCTGATCAAATTTGCATACCTATATCTTGTAATCTGAACAACTACTTTCAAGATAACAATATACAATATGATAACCACTGTTAATTTCTTATCATTTTGTTTTGAAATTTTCTATGATTTTTATTTTTTTCTTCTTTAAAATTAAAAAAAAAAAAAAAAAGGTTTTTTCTTTCGAGCTATGTCCCCAGCCCCTGGTTTTCTAACTTTTGTCATGACATAATTTATTCAAATTTCTTTCTTACACTAATAAAGTTTTAACAAAGAACAGCCTTTTCAAAATAATTTTTGTATTTATTTTTTTATGAGTCAAAGTTTTATTTGGATCAAAATAATTTTTAAATTCAAGAGCATGCAATATACTAAAAGAATCTTAACAAAAAATGCACTCAGATGTGGATTTTATATTGTGCATGCACAATACTGGAAACTAATCAAGACCTTCGCACTGAGCTACGTCCCAGCCCTTTTGTTAGAGATAGGGTCTCAATGAATTGCTAAATTGCCCAAGCTGTGTTAAACTCACAATACTCCTGCATCAACCTCCCAGGAGTGTACTGAGATTACAGGATTGTACTGTCACACTTAGCTAAATTTTACACTTTGAAAACATGAGAAGCTTTGACAATTCCTACTGCAATTAATACTTCAGGAGAGTTAGGACTTTCTTTAGCCACAAAAAGCTCAATTTGATATTCAAGTGACTCTACGGGGCAGTTCATAATAATAGTATAAATCCCATTATACATAAGTTTCAACCTACTGTCCATACATTTTTCTTTTATTTTTCACTAGTACTTTAAATGAGATCAACCTGGGCCTGAAAATTCTCTGGCAGACAGAAATTTTCATTATGATAGTGTATAAATGTTAAGTAATGTATACTCTCTACTAGTTAAAATTCACATTAAAATGGTTCTACTTAGATTTCATTCAAGAAAACTTCATTTGAAAAAAAATAAAGGCATTTATTGTATAAATAATAAGTCAGTACCTCACCTGTCCTTCATAGGTATCAGGTGGGCCTTAACACCATTTTTTCTTTTTCTTTCTTTTTTGGTGGTACCAAGGATCGAACTCAGGAACTTGTGCTTGCCAGGCAAGCACTTAGCAAGCACTTATTCCACTAAGGTAGCTCCCTGGCTCATTAACACCATTTTTGAGCCATATGGACTAGTGTCAAGAAACTCTAATGTATTAAATGGGATTTAGTTCATACTAACTCCAAGTCAAAAACAGGTAATACTTCATTTCATTAACAGTCTGCTCTTAACAAAAACCCTTACCAGCCTTTCTCTAGTTTGACCTGGAGAATGAAAGGTAGCAATGAATGCCCCCCACCTTCTAAATGAGAAGTATTTCTGCAAAAGTCCACAGCAACAATATGAAGTCCTCATCTATAAGAGGGAAGTACAGCATTGTGCTTTAGTATAATCCTCATTTAAAATGTCATATGTTCAACATTTTTACTTGTAAAAGCATGTTTATACTACAAATTAAAAGGCGACAGGAAGAGGAAATATAAAAACTATAAAATATTTAAGCCTTTAATTCATCCTTTACAGGATTCTGACTCAGTGGACATTTTCAAGGGAGAATCATTTCATAAAACTGTTACTTTATCAGTATCACTGGACACAATATTATTTTATAGTTTACAAAGAATAGAAATGGGGAAAAAATCCTAATAATTTCTATCTCCCACATGGCCTTCATTTTGCTGACATTCCTCTTAATGCAGCATTTCTCAAAAAATTTTCTTTGGTCAACTGAGTTTTGATTGTACATTATCCCTCATGGTTATGTGTTAGTATACTCAAAACTAAGAACAACCTATTATCAAAGAAACCTATTATCTTCATTAATCTAGAACTTACATGCTCAGCTGATCACAGATCCATCCATATCCTACAAAATTGACATTTCATAGAACACAATATTTAGAAAATATAACTTTAAAGTACTAACATTTTTTAAAAAGCCAAATCCCTACTTTTTATGTTTGAATTTTAACTTATGAAGAAAAAGTACTCCGTCCTGCATAAAATCATTAATTCACAGGACTTTACTACCTGCATTTCCTCTTTTGTGAAGCTGGCTGCCTCATCCCCCAATTCATGTAGATACATGCAGTCAGGTTTTGGACACTGCATATTCTTTAAGAAGTAACTGCAGTATTTCGTTGTACCTAGAGATGCCTGCAACAGGAAGAGGGAAGAGGGTAAAAGAAGACTCAAAAGTGTGAAGTGACAGCACAACGAGAATCTACATGTTTAGTATTTTCATGTCACCCAAAATAAGGCACAGATAAGACAAAACAAGAACTATGACAGAGAATAATAAGACATTGAACTATTACTAATATTTATTATAAATGACATCTATTTGGAGGAACTAAGGAAAACATCTCAGTCTATGGTTTCTAGAATTCAAACAAATCTTCCCACCAACATGAAAGAGACACAAAAATGTGTTCCATGCTATCAGTGGCTAAAACATAGAAGGCAATTTTCTTTCTGTAATTATGTCATCCTTCCTTCATTTACATAAACCACTCTTTGGTATGACCCTGCAATCAAACTTGCATCAGGTCAGTTATTAACAAAAATCAGAACTATTATCTATTTTAGATGAGAAAAATAATGGCTGCATTTTCACAAAATAAAATGTATGTAAAAAGATTTTTGGTTTATCCCGTAACAATGAATGAATTTATTCCCAGCTGGTAAACCAGGACTCTGTAAGTCAGCAGCAAACCAATCACCCATCACAGGCTGTTATGGATGACTTATAAACAATCTTCAAATGAAATGTCTTTGAAGTTCATGTGTAGGCTGGCCAAATAGCTAAGCAGATTAAAGCACCTGCAAGCAAGTGCAGGGGCCAGGAGATTCGATCCCCAGGCCTGCCATGCTGGCCCCGCCCCTGGGGCGCACTGAGAGGGCAATTGAGACTGGGCATGGTGGTGCACGCCTGTAATACCATCTCTTGGGAGGCAGTAAACAGGCAGATCATTATGAGTCCAATCTAGTAGTGAGACCCTGAACACCCTATAGACCCTTCCCTAAAATACAAAAACAAACAAACAAATAAATAAAGTTCATGTGTAAATCTAGATTATCCTCTTTGTATCATATCTTATCCTTTTCCCTTAAAATCAAGAGAATTATATTACCTTCAGTGTTCTGCCATCTACAACCACATTGTTGACACACTGTATGGCTCTGAGAGCATCTTCTGACCGGATGTAGGTGACATAAGCACTAGCACTTGGACCCTAGAGCAAAAAAATCCAAGCCTGCAATTATTTGCTTTCAATGACATAATGCTAAGAAATAAAATTGTCTTGCAAACTGCCTACAGAATGCTAAAGGCCTAACTACTGCTGTTAGTAACAATGATAATAATTAGAAGTAGTAGCTTTCATTAAGTACTACTAGACCATTTAAAAGTAATCATACTTGAACTTTATCTCATTCTAAATCAACTACAACAGATGAATAAAGTATCATTTCTGGTTTGGCATTTATTTCATTAAATCACTTGACAGGCTCTTCAAGGATACAAAAAGGTTAAAAATTAGATTAAAAATAAGATTTAACTTGTCAAATTCTGTAAAAAAATAAATGCAATACATAGGTATTCAATTTGCTACCATCAATATCACAAAGTTATTTTATGAAGATTCAATATCCAAAACACCACTAATTAGGAATTATCTAATTAACAGATTACCTGGTAATACACTTAACTCTCCCACCCCTTTATATTCTATTAATAAAGCTCTGATTCACTATTTCCTTTTTATTACTATTAACATTGTAAGGCCTAGAAAGGTCAAATCAGTGCCAATAATTTCTCCATCTACCAACAGAGGTCACTACACTGCTTAAATTCTTTACTATCTACCTTCCTAATTACAGAAAGCAAATTTTCCTTCTAAACAGCCCAGGTCAAGCCCAGACCACAAGGGAAAAAGGCAAAAATCCCTATCATTAGTTACCTGTGAGCCTGCATATGACGTGCTATTATTGATGACAACTTTATGTATTTTACCAAACTTTCCAAAATATTCTGGGCGTTTTAAAACCTGTAAAAGAATAAGAAATAAGGTATAAACCACTCCTATATTTTATCAGCTGTTAGCCTTATAATGGGAACAATCATTATCCCTTGTCATTGAAATGAAAATAAGTTATTTTTAATGTTTCCTAATAAATACGATTACTTCTTAATTGTTATTTATGTAGGCAACCTATAAAAAAATCTAGAGTCTAAAATAAAAGTATGACTTCTTAGCCTACTGAATAGAAACTGAGACTGAATTTCACATTCTCTATTGTTCTCTATTATCTGAGCGAATAATCTGTGGGATATTACCCAGTAGTCTTAAAAACAAAGAGATTAGGGGCTGGGGAGATAGCTTGGCAGTCGTAAGTGCTTGCCCGGCAAGCGCAAGAACCCAAGTTCACTCTCCAGTACTGCACTCCATGCTGGCCTCAGAACCCTGGGGATGCTGTGGCAGCCCAAAACCGGATGTGGTGGTGCAGGACTGTAATTCCAGCAGTGGAGAGGCAGAGACAGGAGGATCACTACAAGTCTGAACTGCATAGCAAAACCCTGTATCAACAATAACAAAAATATAATAATAAAAAAACAAAGAGATCAAAGATCTTAACTGCACTGCCCCTAATATATGATCATTATGAGAAAACAGTTCTCAAGATGACCAAAATTAAGCACTAAGGGCAGAGACATAAAAGAAGAGGTATTAAAGTCTTTTCTTATAAAACTACTGTATATTAAAGCATTGTCTATAAACCACAAATAAGATAAATGTCCCCTCAACACTTATGTTTTATGATTTATTTTGTGTATATAGTTTCCAATGTCTGCCTGCCTGGCTCTGTCTCTGCTTATGCCTCTCTCTCTCTCTCTCTCTGCCTCTGTCTCTGTTTCTCTTGTACCATGAATTGAGCTCACGAGCTTGCCCTTGCAGGCGGGTGCTTGTGCCACTGAGCTGTATCGGAGGTACAATTTCTCAATTGTCTCATAACACTGTCCCCCAAAAATTACATCCTAAAACAAATGTATACATTTCTTTCTCTATTACCTGGTTACTTCTGGGTGATTATTTCCCTTCATACTTAGCTCACCTCCATTATTTTATGATGACCATAAAATTATATGGTCATATATTCTTTTAACTTCCTTCACAAACTTACTCAACCTTAGATAATTCAATGAACATAATTTGATATAAAAACCTCTTTCTGACCTGCAATTACATCCACCTTAAAATTTGTTTCTAAAATTTAACTGTTAATCTACTACTTCTATAATTTTTACTTGTATTTGTTACATGCAGTGCTTCTACAAATACATGCATCTTACTATTTTGTCATGTGAAAAAAGTAATTCAAGACCTTGAATACATGTACAAGTTCTTTGAGGAACTACTTAAACACACATTCAGATCCAGTAGGTCTGTGCATAGTAAATTCACAGTGGTACAGCTGCTAGGGGCAAGCTGACTACACTTGGAAAAAGGTTCTAGCATTTAGCCTCTATAATTATTTTCCTTTTGTTTCTCCTCTCTCCATATATTTTCTATATATGTGGAGAATGGTTATATTATCATGAAGTCATTTTGTAAAAGAGGTAATAATATGTATCAAATTCACTTTTTAAAAATGGGCAATGTATCTAATAAGGCAGAAGACCAATAATTTATAGAAATCGTTTCTGGCAAAAATTTAGGTGTAACACTTTCACAACATGAGAATGGCATATAATTACACTGAGGTGTCCACACTGTAGCCAAAATGGCATTTTCGAAGTACAAATCTTGTCACATCATTCTGTTGTTAGGAACATGCCATTGCTTCCCACTGACTATAGGATAAGTGCAAGCTACACAGCACGGCTAGAAAGCCCTTTGTAGTCCTCACCACTTACCTTGCCAACCTTATTTCTCACCACTGCACTCTAATCTTCCAGTCAAATACATCAGATCGCAGATGAAGGTCTTTCTCATCCAGAAGCATTTGTACAGTTCTTGTGCCAGAGCACTTTACCCAAATGGCAGCAATGGAGTATAAACCTGTTCTGCAAGAACTGCTGCTACAATCTGTGCCTCCACAGTGCTTCCATACTACACTGTCACTTTTGTAAACACGTAGGTGCTATCTTGTTTGTGTCTTACATAATGACTGACTGATACACTATAGTTCATGGACAAATGTTTAATGAAAAAACTGAACTGTGCTAACACTGAAGAAAAGAATTACATTGAAATAGAACACTCCAAGTATTTGTAAATGACCAGTGGCTGACATTCAATGTACTCCAGGCAAGGGAAAGTTGAATTAATATGGAAATTTAAACTTTCTATATCAACTTGAACACAGCAGATTCTGACGCACAAGCAAAACACAATTCTACTGATAAAGTAAAAGATACGGGAAGTAGGCAGAGTGCACTGTACTTTAGCACATTATTTATATGCTTAATGTTGTGTATCTGACAGTGGGCCAGTTTTAGTAATAACAAAATACAGTTAGAAGACAGAATTCTAAGTGTCCAATGGCATACATAATGAATAAATGTCTCGGTATACATTTTTTGGAAACACAGTAAAATATTCATAGACAGTAAAAAACAAAAAATTTGGTACTCAGATGGATTTTGTGTGGCTACAGAAATCAATGGATGAAGAACAAAGCAATCATCACGCAGAATAAACTAGATTAAGTGACCCGCAGGCAAGTCACTCAATGTCCCTTTGCCTTCCGTTCTCTTTTGTAAAATGAAATGGTGTGTCTTTACAATCTTTTAGTTCCTCAAACCAAATGCTCTCTCAGGCTAACACACACACACCTGGGACACGACTATCATCATCTGCTGTGCAGCTAACACCCATGACTTCTTCAAGCCCATCTTCTTCCCCTTTGCTCAGGGAAGCTTTCTGTGAATGTCCACACTTAACTACACATTTTGCTCATCTACAGTCCCAGAAAACTATGCACCTCCCACACATAAGGACTCACTACATGTGTGGTGCTTCCCCACTAGTCTATATGCTTGCTAAGGAACAGTCTCTATCTGGCTTTCTCCTGTGTCCACAACAGCAAAGTACCCAGAGCACCAATTCATTTGTAGAACGAATTAAATACATCTCTACAAACCTAAAATTTTAGGACTCTAAGACACTGCACTAACCATTTCCTCTCATTACCAAAGCTTCTAAGATTCTTTTTTCTATTAATCACAGAATATACCTGACAATCAGTTTTGATGCAAGCTTTCTGTTATACACAAATTATTTCAAAATAAGCTTATTTCTTACATTTACTTTCATTTATTAAATTCATTTATTCCCACCAAAAATTGGTTTTATTCATTTTAATGATTTTAAAGTATAAAACTAGTGATTTTTAGAGTATACTCAGGTTCACAATAAAGTGTTCTGTCTCACTAGTCACGACTCAGGTTAATTATGTTTATATAACAGTTCTTCAGATTAATCTGGGTATATGTAAAGTAGAAATAAAAAATTTCTATAAGTAAATAAAAAGTCTTACAAATCATATACTCAAAAGAAGCAATGAGGGTAGGCAAGATAGCTCAGCAGTCTAAAGCACCTACTTAGCCAAGCTTAGGCAAAGTGGTCAGATTACCAGTACCACATGCTGTGCCAGCCCCAACCCCAGGATGGACTAACCAAGTCACAAAACAAAACAAAAAAAGCAGCAGCAATGAGAAACTATACTCCAAATACAAGACTCAGACCAAATCTTAATCTCCTCCAACTTTGTGTGCTACTCTCTATGTCGCCAGTACCAGAAGTGACAAGATATAGTTAAACTAAGTACATCTATCCCAAAGAGATCTTAAATTAATAATACAAGTTCTATCTGTTTATTCAAGTAGTTTTGGAAAGGCAAACGTCAACTCTAATCATTAAGATTAGCAGCAATAAGCACAAGCACCCTTTAGACAAAAGGCAGAGTTGAAAGAGGGAAAGTTTAGTGCAGATCTGCAGTCATGTTCAAGGAAATGCTCATGGCTGAAGACAGGCAGTCTGCCTAAAGAATAAGCAGAAAACAGCTTAAGAAATGGAAAAATTACTGCTGAGGCTACATCAGTGGGCTACAATGAGCTCTCTCTTCAACATATCTTATTTAAAAGCTCTTTTTCTGTTTCAACTCTTAACCCACTCTTTGTTTTTTTAGCAGAACAGGGGATTGAACTCAGACCCTTGTGCTTGCCAGGGAAGCACTTATTCTACTGAGCCATATCCCCAGCCCTTGACCCACTCTTTGGGTTTGGAAAGAATCTATTCTCCTGAATATCATATAGCACAAACATGGTCACCATTCCTGCCATTTAGTTCCTAGGTTCATAGTCATCCCTGAGTTGCTGCCATATCTACTGACCATGACAGATCCATCTTGCATTGTTTTTCTTATACCTCTATTGATTTGGAGGCTTTTATAGAGTCAATATATTATAATCTCATTATCAATAGCTACTATTCTCTCTAAATCATTGTCTGCAAAAATGGACATTTTAGACTTCTTAAAGTTCTTCCTTCTAGCATGCTTAGGCAAGTATGAGGATTCCTACTTCCTTAGGTACATTCACTACAATTCTTCCTTTGGTTGGTGTCATGAAGAACATGACTTCAAACAATTTTCAAGAAGAACTTTGGAAGATCCCTTTCCCCAGGCCAACACTTACTGAAGTAAACACTGGCTACTGATCAGCTCATACTTGTTTTCCCAGCATATAGCCAGAATCTTGCAGTTTATCAAATTAAAATTAGCAGAAGTTTAGCCAAGGATTTCAAGGAAAGTATGAGCTCAACAACATAAGACTGGTGGTGGAAGGACAGAGAAATAAGCCAAAAAAGGTTAAGATCTACTCTGCCCCAAAAGGAGTGACAAAGAACATGTTCTTTTATTTCACTTAATAAAATTCTACTTCTTGGGGCCAGTGAGATAGCTCAGTGGACTAAAGCGCCTGCTTAGGCAAGTGCAGGGATCATGATTACACACACACACACACACACACACACACGCACACACACACCACATGCCATGCCAGCCCTGCCCCCAGGTTGGGCTGAGCCGGCCATAGAGTCCGGTCATAGTGGTGCACACCTGTAATCTCAGCATTGGGAAGGCTGAAAAACAGGAGGTTCTCTACGAGTCTGAGCTGTATAGTGAGACAACCAAATACATTATTAAAAAAAAAAAAACCAAAAAACCAACTACTTCTTTGCCACTAATCAGCTTAGAATGATCAAGTAAAAGATGATGATACAATATAACAATAGTTTTTTTAGGAAAAAAGAACAATTACTACTTAGCCATGATTAAAAACACACATTACTAAGATTTCTAGTGGGTTCCCAAGTTCAGCCAGAATCATGATTACTGCTATATATCTGGCCACAGAAAACAGTAAAAAAGACCAGTATTCCTATTACATATTAGCCATAGGGGCAAAACAGAATGATTAGCAATTTTCAAAGATTTTCAGTGCTAAAAGGAACTTCAAAATCTAGCCAAACCCCTAAGGTTTACAACTGAAGAAACTAAGACATTTGCCTGAAACCATAATTGGTCATTGATTTCTCAGCAAGTACTAAAAAATCTTTTTTTCTCCCCAAATTTAATATTTTCAGAGGAATCCTCCAGTTGAACAGGATCAGCTATTATTTCCAAATAAGACAAGCAAACAGAAAATGTGTCAAGTTAAAAAAGAAAGCAAAAAAGACTTACCTCTGGGTCTGCTAGGCGCTGAGACAGACCTACAACAAAGACGAGGTTTTTTTGTACAACACGAACACTTGCCAAATGTTTGCGATTTTCTGATATTTTCTGTTTTCTCTCATTCTGTTTCTGTTTTTTCTCATTCTTTATCCTTTGCAGTTCTTCCTGGGAAAGTGGTTTATAAACTGCTGGGTCCTCTGGATATGGCTATGAGCATAAAAAAGAGAAGTGAGCATTAAATAGAAAAACCACCAGAATAGTACTTATTCAATTTTGGGTGATATACTATTCTTCCTTTTTCTGAATATATCGTGTAAAATATTTTACTTAATTCAAGTTTGATGTTAAAATAGTTCTACAAATACTTATGTTTTGAAATTTAACACATACCACTTTTAGCATGAAAATGTCAAAAGCTCTAAACAACACCAACAACCTTCTTGCTCATCCTGACAGTGTGTACCTAGTACATCGTTTCCAGGAAGATTAAGCTTCTAAAGTACTGTGTAAGCAGCAAAGAAAAGTTCTCATCTAAATATGAATGTTATATATATCATAATCAACAAATACATAATGAAAACCTACCAGGTGGTGGAAGATTAATGAAGCTATACACTTGTTCTTTAATTATTTTACACTCAAAGAGGGACAGAGATGGGCAAATACAAAAATCTGAAGACGCTCTGGCTCAGAAGTCTAAATTTAGGTTTAACTCTGTGAGCCTCAGTAATCTCATACATAAAATGAAAACAGTCTTTCAAAGGTCGATATAAGGGGGCCGGCAAGATAGCTCAGTGGACTAAAGCACCTGCTTAGAGAGTGCAGGGACCATGGTTCAATCCCTGGCACCACATGCCATGCCTGTCACACCCCCAGGGCAAGCTAAGCTGGCCACAAAAATAAGTAAATAAATAAATGGTTGATATAAGGATAAAATAACACACATAAAGCAATTATTAATGCACCTAGCACAGGAAGCCCTGAATATCCAATTTTACTGTTGTGTCTCTTATCTTTTCTTTCTCAGAATTAAGGTATCATTTTCATTCCTACTACTTATATCACTGGAGTTTGTGGCCCAAATAAGAGGTGTGAAGTCAGAATGCTTGGTTTTGAATCCTAGCTCATTCTGAGATCATGTGACCATCCTACCTGTCTACTCTTCTCTAAAATGGGAAGCAGAGTACTTTAAGCACATTATTTCTATAAATCAAGAGAATACATATAATTAAAAGCATGTTCTCCACATTAAGTATTCAAAAACTTCTTTATCATTATTATAAATAAATATTGTTAATGATAAATTAAATGCAATACCCCCCCCCATTGAACTCAGGACCCTGTGCTTGCCAGGCAAGCGCTTATTCTACTGAGCTAACTCCCCAGCCCAGTTGAGAAGGATTTTTTTGTTTTTGGCTGGCTCAGGCTGCCTTAAGGGTGGGTCTGGTAAGGCATGAGGAGCTAGGGATCAAACTACGTATCCTGTGCCTGATTGTGTTTGCCTAAGCAGGCACTTAAGCAACTGAGCTAACTGGCAGGCCCCCTAATGCAATACAATTTAAATTTTGATATGGAGTAGGAACCACAATTGGTTGTGAACTGTGCCTATCAGAATATAGGAGTAAGGAACAAAAGAAACAATATTAAAAAGAAAATAAGTAGGAGCAAGGAGGAGTGAGGGGAATACCCATAAACCTAAAAGCTTACTATTTCTCTAACATATCACCTATTTTATACAAGTAAAATAAACATAAAACAAACTTTTCTCATAAACCCAGATTAATGATGACAATTAAGGAAGTGAGATTTTCCTTTATATTCTTCTATTTAGTTAGTTAGTTAGTTATTTGGTACAGGGTCTTATTACTCAGCTCAGACTCACTAGTGATCCTCCTTTGTCAGCCTCCCTTTTTGGTGTACCGGTTTTGGTGGCCTGCGCAGCAGTTCCAGGGCCAGCATGGCATGCAGTACCAGGGATTGAACCTGGGTCTTTGTGCTTGCCAGGCAGGCTTAGACTGCCGAGCTATCTCCCCAGTCCATACATTCCTCAGCTTTTACTAATATTATTTGTTTCTTTTCCTTTTATGCCTACCTTTAATTTCAACTTACTGCTTTTTAAGAAATCCTTATTGTTTATCCCATCGATGAACTACATACCTGATTACCTCACAAGATATACATATAATTCTTAATTGTCTCAGAGGGTCCAAGTACCTATATATTTCCCACACTAAGAAATATGAATCTCTTAGCTAACTGGTCCTGTTGGGCATGCTCCAACACACCTGTGATGGGGAGGCACTCTGACTTTTACCAGATCCTTTACACTTCCTCCAGGATGAAACAGAAAGTCAGGAGTTCAGTGATGGCCAAAATAAATAGCAAACTCACATCTAACTGGAAATGTAGTACCACTAATTTTCTTCTTAAAAAATCCTCTATATTGGGGCCGGAGAGATGGCTCGGTAGAATAAGTGCTTCCCTGGCAAGCACAAGGGCCTGAGCTCAATCCCCAGTTCCGCAAAAAAAAAAAAAAGATTCCTCTATATTTTAAAATATTATTTCTCATATTTTAATTTGCAAGTCAAATGGCTAAAGTCAGTTCAATTCCTCAGTCTTCTCAACACCTCCTTTCAAACCTTTTCCCATTACTTTTCAGTATGGTTACTATTTTCTTCAAATCTTAATCTTGATTACTTTAACTCCTTCAAAGCATTGGGAGTTGTAAAGGGACATGTATAAAACTTGTTTAACAAGTATAAAAAAGTATAAAGATCAAATATAAACCAATCAAAATATCTATTAGCTCACCTAAATTTTTCTCATGCACATAGAAAAGCTATTTTCTACTCCAGGCTTTCTGAACAACTCCTTCTGGCAAGCTTACTATTAAGCTCATTTGGAAGTTGCTGCTCTCACCAGCACCTAGAATGGTGATGATCCACTGCTTCTAGCTTTGTCTCAAAGCAGGGAAGATACACTGTGTTTTACCGGTCCATAATAAAGAAAGTACAAAAATGATGGATAAGCATTTGGACTGCCATCATCAGATAAAGACTTTGCTGATTAAGGTATTCATTGGTATGGAACACTGTGTAACACAGGCAGAACACTAAGGCATGAAGCAGAAAATCTTTCCTCAACAAATTGGAGGAAAGAAGGAAAAGAAAACTATAGTTCTGGATCACAAACAGTATGAAAAGCACTAATGTATCTTTCCTGGGACTCAGATTCTTTGGGGAACTTGAGTTTTGACAGAAGTGCTAAGGTTTCCATTCTATCAGCACTCTAATGTTATAAACTTTGATGCAAACTATACATAAACAAGTTATTAAAAAAAACTGATGAAGAATAACAAGTAAAACAATTGGATTACCCTGTCAACTCTAATCAAGCATGTTTTTGCTATACCACCATGTTGAGTAGAGCCTGGGCTATGTTATCCTAGTCTTATTTTTTTTTTTTCTATTTTAGGGAAGGGTCTACAGGGTGTTCAGGGTCTCACTACTACATCAGACTTACAGTGATCCACCTGTTTACAGCCTCCCAAGAGCTGGGATTACGGGTACGTGCCACCACGCCCAATCTCAATCGCCAGTCTCAGCATGCCCTGCAGCAGAGCAGGCACAATATGTCCAGGAATCAAACCCCTGACCCCTGCGCCTGCTTGCAGGTGCTTTAATCCACTGAGCTATTTGGCTGGCCCTTCCTAGTCTATTTTATATGCTATTCCCACTTTTTTTCTTTGAAAATATACTTCTATCAGCCTCCTACCTCAACTGTTGGAACATAACTGCTACATAATACAAAAGCCACCAACTCCTAAGAGCAAACAGACAAATTACTACAATTTACCATCCAAATACATCTTATTCTAGCAATTTACAGAAAATTATAAATTCTACATTTTTAATCTTAACATTTCTGGCTGGGCATGGTGGCGCACACCTGTAATCTCAGCACTTGAGATTAATCCCAGCTGTAGCAGGAGGATCACTGTGAGTTCAAGGTCAGCCCAAACTATATAGTGAGACTCTGTCTCAAATACACACACACACACACAATCTTTAACAAATCTGTGAAGTTGTTTCACTGTTATTAGAGAGATTTAAATACAAATTTCTGAGAAAAAAAAATTTTCTGGAAAATAAAAACATGCTAATTTAACCACAAATGCAAATACATGATAAAGGCTTATTCACCTTAATCTGTTCAGAAGTTTCATGCGAAGATGAGAAAGGCATGCATTCTATGATAGTTCCTCCTCTACACAGATACCACATTTATACCTAACTGTACATAAAAAACCAACATGGTAAAATCCAGAAGAGGTAGATTATAAAGATGGGAGATAAAATTTAACTGCAGATAAACCCACAAAGGTAATATGAATATTAAAACTGAACATACGGATACAATTTGGTCAGTTTTTTGACTACACAGTAAATTTCTACAAATATATTATCAAATGAAAAATTACAAGCAAAAACTTCAAAGGTGTTATTTCAAGGCTGTCGAAAAGCGCATATATATATATATATATATTTGTTTTTTTAAATGTATTTGTATAGGATCTATAGGGTCTCACTACGTAGATCAGACTTGTAGTGATTCTCCTGTTTTCAGCCTTCCAAGCACTAGGATTATGGGCACATGCTACCACACCCAGTCTCAATAGCTGTCTCAGTGCGCTCCAGGGGTGGGGCCGGCACAGCATGCAGGGATCGAATCCCAGATGCTGCACTCTGCCTAAGCAGGCACTTTAATCCGCTGAGCTATCTGGCCAGCCTTAGATATATTATTTTTAAGACTGTTAATATGGCAGTAAATTACTAGTTAATATGGCTCATTTTATATACATAAATAAAATCAATTTTTTCTACATTCCTTTGATTCCGAATTCTACTGACTTGGATCTTATCTTTTATCAGACTTGCACAGAACTGTTTTTATCTTATTGGTCTTGTCAGAGAACTACCTCCAGCTCTTATTGAAAAACTTCTCCTAGTTCACTATATTCTGCTTACTCTCTACCTTCCACTGTCAATACAGTTTGTTTGTTTTTGCAGTACTGGGGATTGAACTTAGGCCCTTGCACTTGCCAGGCAAGCGCTTAACCTACTGAGTATCTCCCCGGCCCCATTTTTTTTCTGACTTTTTTTTTTTGTGTGGAACTGGGGATTGAACTCAGGCCCTTGAGCTAGTCTACTAAGCCATCTTCCCGGCCCCTTTTTTCTGATTTTTAAAGTTAGAAATTAAATTTATTTAGTTTGGTTCTTGTTTTCTAATAAATGCATTTACATCTTTTAAACTTTTCCTCTACATACTTTATCAGCCTCAATTCTGAGAAATCATGTTCCAATTACTGATTAAAAATAATTTATAATTTCATTTTGATCTTTTTAAAGAAGTCAAGATTTATAGAAAACTATTATTTTTATGTTATGGATGAATGACAAAGACCAGAACCTAAATGATTCTGATTTTTTTTTTTAAATTTATGTATTTGGTCTCACTATGCAGCTTGGACTGATAGTAATGATCCTCCTGTTTTCAGCCTCCCCAGCGCTGGGATTACAGGAAAGCACCACCATGCTGGGGCTCAGTGGCTGGCTCAGTGTATAGGAAGGGTGAGGGCTGACACAGCATGTGGTGCCAGGATCAAACCCTGGTCCCTGTGCTTGCCTAAGCAGGTGCTTAGTCCACTGAGCTATCTCGCTGGCCCCGTGGTTCTGATTCTTAATCTTTCATGTATGATTTAGATTTTTCTCTGACAATTCACAAAATTTCATTATCTTCAGCACTCTGATACTCCAAAATAAAAAGCCTATACTGGCAATTGATAAATCTTTTCAATTAGGAGACCAAATTAATCATATATTTGGTAATTATTTCCCTTTGTGTCACTGCGGCCTCATCCTACAATACTTTAAAGATAAAGATAACATTGGCAAAGCTGATTATTAATGAAAGGAAAAATGAGTTACTTAGGGAAGTCACAAAGAAAATCATTCAATCTTAAGAGATTATCTAGAATTACTTCAAATCTTTGGGAGGAAATGCTGTAGGAAGACCTGAAAGAATGAGGGATAGAGAAAGCAGTTAGTATTCATTTCAAGAAGGAAGCATTAGCTCAGCATAGGAAGAAATTACTGAAAAAGCAATAGCAGTGCTTCAAGGTCCTAGGGAAAACATCAGTGTAGCTGGCTGAGTATGGTGTTGGAACATACTCCCCCTTTTGTGCCATTTAGCATGTACATGAACACAATGGGGTAGACACACTCTCGTTTTGGTGCTACTGTCTAAGAGATCTTCTTAACCTCATCTTCCAACAGTTTCCTTAGGTTACTCATTTTTCTTCAAATTTAACAACTGCTCATTATTATTATGACATCTTTATAACATCTCAAGGGGGGAAAAAATGAGAGACTATTTTCATGAAGCCAATTAAGTTCACATCCCTTAGAGTTTAGAGTGATCCTCAAAGTCACCACACTTTGAATAAAGCAATTCACTATGATCATTTTGTTTGGAATGCTTAAGAATCAACTTTAAAAACATGACTAAATGCTTAAAATTCACATCAATTTATATACATTTTAATCAAAGAAAATATTAAATTTTTCATTTACCTTCCCATTCTTAAAGTATACTGTTAATAAAATATTCATTGTATTATGTATTATATAAAAATGTACATTACAGGTAAATTATATATATATATATATATATATATATATATACCCTATAATACTATATAAGCATATAAACTACATTTAACTATAGTTTTATATATAACATATGTTACACATCCATTAGATTTTTCAATATAAATAAAGCTGGATAATTCATGGTTTCCTGAAATTTACAAACCTTAAAGTGAGAGGCAGATTACTTTCTAAATTTTAGATATATAAAGCACATTTCAGTTTTCTCAAATTTGATGGTAATGAACACAAGTTTTTTGAAATAGGCAACTAGAAAAAGTTTAAATCACACAGACATCAAAGAGAGTACAAATACATAACAGATACTTGCATTAAAATCTAAGGTCACAAATTCCCTCAAAACAGAAATGCAGCATTTCACTATTCTAATAGCTCAAATACCACACTGTAATTGTGCTGCAGCTGATTATCAAAGCAACAAAGCCAAGAAAATACTAAAAATCACAGATTTTTAGACTTATAAGGGGCTCTGAATGATACAATATTTCAGAACAAAGATTTCAAACTGAAAAGACCCATCTGAATCCCAAATCTACTATTCAGAAGTTGATGACTCTGGAGAAGCGCAAAATGGGAACGGCAATGTCAGCCTAGAATTGTTACAAGGGCTCAACATATGAGTAGGTGATCTGTTCTGAACCACAATTTCTGTCATTCTGAATTTTTTTAGTAAACATCTCTCATTTCATACAAAAAAATCAGTGCATCCCTTTCATCACATAATACTGAATATATTTTTCTGATTTCACATATCCTACCCAAATCCATTACTTTTCTACCTCTAAACATCATAAGCAGCAAGCCCCATTGGCCGTGCCTATCATCTCCTCAGCAAGGCTACATAACTGCACAAAGGTCACACAGCTAGTGAACAACAAAACTAAGACTTGACCCTAATTCCCATTACAGTGTTCTTTCCTCTTCATTATGCCCTGAAGATAATATGCTTCACAGACTCTCAGCTGATGATCGTAGATTCTTTTAAAAAAAGCTACTCATAATGATGAAAGTAAAAACTATACATTAAAACTGTACAGTAAAAGAAGCCTATAGACTTCAAACAAACACCTATGGAGTTATTTTGAAGCATTTACCTTTCTACATGCAGGACAAAGCCCATTTTCATCAGTGCGAATTCGATGCCAACAAAATCGGCATATCTGGTAGCCACAGGTGCAAGGGAAAAAGTTGATATCATCTATCTCCAAGGGCTCCATGCAGAGAGGGCATTCCACAGGGTCTTCTTTTGCATCAGGACTGCGAGACATCTTCACTTTATTAAACAGCAGCAAAAAAAGTTTATAATAATTTAAGGGAGAAGGAAGTTCAGCACTGAGAGCTAAAATGTAGAACCTTGTAGACCTGCATTAAGGACAAACAAAAGGCATTGTTTACTATTGGAAAAAAGTTACATTTAACAATGAAGAATCATTATCAAAAAAATCTGGAAAATATTAACTTTTGCTATAATTTCAGAATGGATTTCTGAAAATTTTGTATATCAATATAAACGACCTGGAACGGATTCTTTGGATTTAAGAGAAATAGACAAAAAAAAAAAAAAAAAAACCCTTCCCTTTTGCTAAGTAAAACATTTAGTAGTAATATACAGCACTAATTATAACACATTTTAGCAAAATAAGAGGCAGAAGCATTTTAGCTTGAAAATACACTAAAAATTGTCTGGTCACTGATGTAAAATATAAAATATGCCACGTATTAATTACCACTTGCTAAAATACATCAAAATTTATGAGACCAAATGAAAAATAAGAACTATAAATATCTAAAAGTTGCATGTTAACATCAAGTTCTTGCCATAGAATACATGCTAGATCTAAAAAAGAATAGACAATAGAATCTGTTTACAAGTAATTATGTAATAATATGCCAATGAAATTTTATGGTATGCTTTATACAAGTATTCTTTTGGTAATGTTATAAAAAGCCTATAAGGAATATGAGAAAGAATGTTGGGCAAGCAGTTAGTCTGCTGAGCTATATCGCTGACCACCTCCTATATCTTAAAATTTAAAATAATGAGACCCTCTTTTGTACTTTGAACACTTTGTTTATTTTGTTATATGCCTCCAGTCAAATCATTCAGGATTTACGTTAATTATTGTCTGATTTGGATATGTACTGTTTTTGTTTCAGGGTCATAGCCCAGAGTTCCATTGCTGTTTATAAAATGACCCCTCCTTTCTATATTGGCTTGTCATACAGTTTTTATCAAATATTAAAATCTCATAAATTCATGGTTCTGTTTTTAGATTCTTTAGTTTCTCTGGTATTTTGTCTAATTCAGATTAATAGAAAATTGTTTAAATTGCTTAAAATCTACATTGTTACAGGGCTGGCCAGATAGCTCAGTGGATTAAAGCACCTATTTAGGTAGACAGGGACCAGGGTTTGATCCCTGGCGTGCCGTGCTGGCCCTACACCCAGGGCACTGAGACAGTGATTGAGACTGAGCATGGTGGTGTGTGCCTATAATCCCTGCACTTGGGAGGCTGAAAACGGGAGGATGATTATGAGTCTGATCTGTGTAGTGAGACCCTGTACTAAAAACATATAAAATAAAATAAACTGTTACAAAACTCTTATGTCTGAGGGCTGGCCAGATAGCTCAGAAGACTAAAGCACCTGCTTAGGCAGATGCAGGGACTGGGGTTTGATCCCTGGCGTGCTGTGCCGCTCCCACCCCCAGGGAGCACTGAGAAAGGGACTGAGACTGGGCATGGCGGCACGCACCTATAATCCCAGCACTGAGGAAAACAGGAGAATCACCATGAGTCCGAACTACATAGTGAGACTCTGTAGATCCTGCAGACCCTGTACCAAATAGATAAAAGAAAAAAAAAAAAAAAAAAAAAAAAAAAAAAAAAAAAGGTATTATGTCTATAATTCAAATAACTTCTTGAGGGTTTTTGTTTTTTTTTGTTTTTTTGTTTTTTGTTTTTCCGGAACCAGGAATTGAACTCAAGCCCTTGTGCTTGCCAAGGAAGCACTTATTCCACTGAGCCATCTCCCCAGCCCCCAAATAATTTCTTGAAAAAGAAATTTTTATTTCCTTTAGCAAATTTGGGACTTCTGTTAATTAGCAGGATGATCACAATGAATGGTATCTTCCTATGAATCTATATTTCAAAGTAATAGTGAATTTTTAAAGATATAGGCCAGGAGTGGTGGCACAGCACTTGGGAGGCTGAGACAGGAACACTGCCATGAATTTGAGGCCAGCTTGGTCTACATGGTGAATTCAAAGCCAGCCTGAACTACATAGCAAGGTCATGGCTCAAAAACAAACATGAAAACAGTTGAATTCTATCACAAAAAACTGTCACACCCAAGGCAGTCTTCACACATTACATGCTCTGTGTCAATGTCTCACTTACACTGATAAGCATGTGTGCTTAGCATGCCCTCTCTTTATGGCAATCTCGTCACTTCTCTACCTGTTGTCAGGAGCTTCCTACTATATTGTACACATGTGCTTAGGAAAATAAGATGTCAATAAAATACAGTATCAAATATGTAATGAGTGCTTAGAATAGACATCAACATCTTCACATCAGCTGTTTACTTGCTTATAAAACCTAAAAGATAACATAAAAAATAAAACATTGACGTGAACTACAGGTAAACATAAACTAAAGTCTACCAAAGAAATAAGCTTTGCTTCAACTGTCACACCCAAGGCAGTCTTCATACAGGACAACTGCATGTTCTATACCAAGTATTGTTTACACTGACAGCAAACATGTTTTATTTTCTTTTACTTTCTCATAAGGCATATTTGACAACTTTTTTGTTTCCCTGTTGTCATAGTAGACCTTTGTGATGTTGTACCTGCCTGTTCACCTGTTAGGTCATCAATGTACTCCGAAATTTTTTTGCATAGTTCCCAGGGAAAAAAAACACTTTGTTTTTCCTCTGCTGTAAATCATTTCTTATGAGCTCCAGTCCCAATCCTCTAAGAAAATTTATCTGTAGTATTCTGCACTATCAAACTATCAAACTATTTATGCCACACATATTTAGGATGAGGTAAAACACAATCACTCGCCAATGCTCGTATTTGAAGTGATGTCACAGTTGCTGCATAATTCATCAAAAATATCTACTCTACCTTTGGTTTTGTGGTTAAAAGTTTCCACCTCGGACTTCAGTTTTATCAAGGTTTCCCTATCAATATTTTCATCATAGTAACATGTTGACATTAGCAGTACCAGTCTGTTTTTCTTTGCCATACACAAAGTCAATGCTGGGCTGGGGAGATGGCTCAGTAGAATAAGTGCTTCCCTGGCAAGCACAAGGGCCTGAGTTCAATCCCCAGTTCCACAAAAAAAAAAAAAGTCAGTGCTGTATCTTTCTGAAGTCCAAAGTTTGTACCGTACAATTCTGTTTTAAAATTGCAACACTTCATTTGGAATTTCTGCTTTGTTCTTGGGTAGTTCCTGCACTAGTCAACTTGTGCTTTCTTACCAAATGTAACTCCAATTGGAAACTGGTAAACCAATTGTTAAATGTCACATTTGGATTAGCTTGGTATATGGGAGCAACAAGTCTGTTTACAAGATTATTGAGTTCATTACTAGATGAGTTACAACTGGATGGCTGAGTTCCAGGATAAATGTCTAAACTGAAAGCATACTAAGTCTCATATTTACAAGGCAAAAATTGTTATGCCACATTTTGACCCACTGCTTTTCCATAAATCTTTCAAATGCCTGCAATCACCATGGCAAATCTGTGCTAGGAAGTACAGCAGACCTACAAATGCTTTCAGTTCAGCCAGTAAAATGTCATTAATACAGTTTTTTTAAATATGGCTACTGATGCATACAGAATGTGTTACTTGCATTTCAGCCTTTGTATGTTTCACAGCATCTTGTAGCATTTCAACTGTTATAATTTCCACACTGAATGGTAGTGCTTACATTCTGTCCAATATATTTTATCTCTGCTGAAACCCTCACTATATTTTCAGACCAACTTCAAATATTGGATCATTCCATTTGGTTGCATGGCCATTCAGACTAGTGAAATATACCTATTCACATTGCTTTCTTCATCACCTGAATTAAGGAGATCTGCACTTCTTGTGTCTGTATCAGTCAATTCTTGTTTGATTTCACTGTCACAAGAACTTTGGCTCATACAGCCAAAGTACAAGCCATCATCATCATCCACCCACACCGCCCTTCTGTTATGAAAGCATGTAATGGATCCTCATCATCCATGCATGAGTAAACTGATGATTCACTTTTCACATCCTCCAAAACTCACTGGTTTTTCATCTACCAATGATAGAATTGGGCTACTTCTACCAAAAAAATCAAAATAAAACATTTTTTAACAAATCCTGGACCCTCTGTGATGCTTCAGTAAACATACACAAAACCAGTTAGCTGGAGGGGCAGAGGTGGGTCCAAATCCCGTTTTGCCACTTTTGCACACGTCATTTATCATACCAAGTGGGTAAACACACATGTTGCTTCCCACATCCCTTAGGGAAATGCACTGAGACATACAACAGGATACTATAACATAAAGTACAAATTTACAGCAGAAAATAAGGGATGGGCCTCTGGACCAAGTCTTATGCCCCATGAGCCTTTTTGGCTCATGGTTTCAGAGGATCCACTCCATGGTCAGCTGGCCCCAAGGGATAAATGGCATGTTGAAGGCCATGATGGAGAAATGCTGCTCAATCCATGGCAGCCAAGAAACACAAAGAGAAGAGCCAGAGAGACAGATCTGCCCTCCAATGGTTTGCCTGCATCAACCAACCGTCTCCAATCAGGCACCACCTCCTAAGTGTCCATCCAGCTATGAACTCATCAATGAAGTAATCCAATGTGGAATACAAAGCCCCATGATGCAGTCACTCTCTGAAAGCCTCATCCTTTAACACATGACATTTTAGATCTAAACCACAAAAACAATGAATACAAGAGAGAATGCATCTGTATGTTTCTAGCACCATGGAGACACCACACACACAGGTTGCCAAACATTTTTACACGAATGGTAAAATGTAGAAGTAGCTAGATATGGTAAAGCACTGAAACTTAAGGAAAAATAACTGATTGTGCCTCATTTCTTACCCTAAGTAACTACATGATCTTGGATAAGACACTCAACAGCTCTAAGATTTGATTTCTTCATCTCAAAAATATGCAGACAAAAACTTTTAGGGAATTTCAAGTATAGAGAAAATTCCCAAATGTTAGTCCAAAATAAACTCATAAAATATTCTTTGAAGCTGGGATTGGTGCTGCACACCTGTAATCCCAGCAGTCAGGAGGCTAAGGCAGGAGGAAGGCTGTGAGTTAGAAGTCAGCCTGAGATGAGCT